GCCTTGAAACCCCAGCATTGCTCAGGATGACATATTACTGTACCTGGCAACCACCTATATAATAGCTTCTAGAATATTTACATGCCAGTAACTTGGAAGAAAATAATGCAACCTGATTTAATGTTAATATGGCTTATTCCTGTATGACACTGCAATGTATCTGTCCCTCCAGCTGTAAAACAGATGCTACAAAGGCTTCTACTGGATTAGGAAAGAGGGAAGGAGCAGTAGAAGACAGTGAGGTCTGGGCAAAGGTACTGAGGCAAAAGGCAGGTTCTCTAATGCAATGGAAGAGTCCTCCCTGATTGCATCCTTGATAGGACAGTACTTTGATATTTTACCTTAATAATCAGTGAATCTTGTATCAAAGGCAGTACCCTTTCAGCTTGGCAATGCCATTAAATGCCTTCAGTGAACAGTACCCCACAGAACAAAACATCCCATAATGTTAAAAATCAGTCCACAGTATTTATTCACATTCCTACAACCAGAAAAGTCCCTGCAAAAGATGATTTCTCCTTTCCTAATCCAACACCAAGAGGGATGTTAAATTATTTGGTTGCCTTCTTAGGAGATGTACAATTTGGGGCCATGGCTTCTTTCACAGAGTTGCTGCTCCATCAAGGAGACTAATCACTGGTTAGATCAGCTTCAGAAGCTCTTACCCAGGTCTTTACACCTCTATTTCCACTCCAGCCACACCCTGCAAGCCCTCTGGGTCATCCAAGCTTCCCTCCTAACCACTCCTCAGCAACTTCACCAACTTTGGGCTTCAGGTCTTCTTTCATGTTGCCTCATACACCTGGGGCAGCCTTCTAAAGCATAACAAGATCCCCCTCTCCCCCCCACTATAAAAATGGCTTCTCAATATCCCCCTATTCCCATGAAGCAGTCTAGCAATAGTGACCATACTGGACAGCTTGAGTTTGTTGTTTTGATTGTACCCTCTCATGGGTAAGCTCAGAAGCTCCTGGGAGCAGGAACTGGTTTTTCTCTTTGGCACAGTTCTCCTTGCGCCATACACACAGGCCTCCCAGCACTAGATATACTGGCAGCACCATCTACATAACAACGATGCCAGTGCTTATCCCAATTTACAGACTGAGGAGGCCTGGTGCACAGGACATGTTTTAAGTAATCTGGCTCCAGAGCCAGAATAAACACTAGGGCAGTGGTTCTCAAACTTTGTGGCCCATGGCCCACCCCCTGCTCAATGCAAACCTTGCCAAAGACCACTAGCCAACCACCCATGATAACAAAATGGGGAGAGGAGAAGTTGGGGGAGCAGCGTCTGGCTGGGAGGTAGGGTGCAGGAGCTGGCTGGGAGGGAGGGTGCAGAAGGTGTGGAGTCTGGGCATGAGGAGGATGGGGGACACTTCCAGACACCACCCCATTAGCCATAATTCTAGGCAATGGGAGCAGCAGAGAAATCTCCAGCCAAGCAGTTTCCTGCGCTGCCATTCCCCCAGCCAGAGAGTGGGGGGAGCGGCAGTACACAGAGGCACTTCCTTCCCCAGCAAGCTGGATCTGGCCCAAGAAGCTCTCCCCACTGTCGCCCCAAAGCAGGAAACCAGCAGTAGTGCTTCAACCTTGGGGAAGAGGGCATCAGTGCAGGCTCCTCGTGCAGGGGGGAGAGGAGGGCGAACCCACAGCCCACCTGCAAGATAGTTCCGGATCACTAGTGGTCCGCAGACCACACTTGGAGAACCACCACCCTAGGGCAAGGTCTGAAATCCTAAGTGTATTTTCCATTTCTTAGGATGGAGACTGGATGCCTTCCTGGAAGATACCCATTAGCCAAACACAAATAAATACATGGATAAGTGGGTGAAATTTAGTGGCCTGAGATACACAGGAGATTGGACTCGATTATCTAATGGTCCTTTCTAACCATAAAAATCTGTGAATGTACAAAGCCACGCAACTGAATATCCCATTGTAGAGAGGGCTTATTTTATCCTTGCCCTGTCCCTGAACCCAATTCCCTGAGAGAACCTGTTCCCACCTTAAGGTTATTTAAGAACTTTTTTCATGTGTAGATTCATCACTATTCAAGCACCTCACATAGAACTTCATCGTTCTGTGTGCTGTCATATGACATTCTTCAGAGGAAAAATGATAGGAAAACAAACTTATAAACGGGGATTGGTTAAAATTTAACCCATCCATTTCATGAGAGGACATTCATGTAAAACTCCTAATGCAAATGTTCACACACACCTCATATCACCCTGCTTGCCTACATACAAAATAAAGTCGAAATTCCACAGCAAGACACTTGCATTACTCCAAATGTTCAGCAAGAAAAGGCAATATTTAGAAACAGATAGGAGGGGAAAGATGGGCATCCAAAATTTGAGGAGGGCCATGGGAGAAAAGAACCTGCAGGAGGAATCCTGAATTCCCCAACATTTCGCTATTATCCTTGGAACACTGGCATAAATCTAGACAGATTAACGTTCAGAGCAACTTTATAACAAGTATTCAGCCTTCAAAATAGGGATGTAAAATCCAAGTTAATCAGCTAACCAGTTACGCGGGATACCACTACTTCCCCTCTCAGACATGGAGGGCAGCCAGCTTCTTTTCATGGCCCCTGCTTCTGCTCCCAGTCTCCACATCCCCATATGGCTTCAGCTCCTGAACCCTGCAGGGCTGGAGCAGCCCTCCACCTGCGGTGGGTTGCTCGCAGGTACCGGTTAATCGGCACCCAGGACACATTACTCGGTAAGAATGATGCTTACCAGGCAACTGGTTAACCAGTTACCTGTTCACATCCCTACTCCAAAGGATTAAAAATGTAACTGGTCCTTAGATTCCTCATGGAGTTTAAAACTCACACTGCACACTAAGACAAAATGCAGAATGAAACCAAGGCATGTGTTGCCCATCACAATTTTAGGCATGCCACTCCTAAAATCTGCAATATTATGCCTGCCTTCATCTTAATCACCTGCTTAGTCTCTTAGTCCCCTGCCTAACACCCACCTCCTCAATGAATTCCTTCTCATCAATAATCCCCATGCTGTCTCTCCTGAAATTTGTGTAGCTTATTGAAATTTCAAGAATGGCAAAGCACCATGTAAATCAGGGGTGGGGAATCTAAGGCCCAGGGATCAGTTTCAGCCCCTGGCTTGCCTGGATCCAGCCCCCGAGGCTCAGGCTTCCCCCACCCCACCAGTCCCATGCCACTCTCCACAATTCCCCCCATGGAGTGGGAGCACTAGCACCAGCTCCTTGCTGTGGGAGAAGGAGCCCCGAGTCTTGCGGGCTGGAGTCAGATAAGCCAGAGCTGGATCCAATCCACAGGTGCTGCCTGGAAGAGAACAGAAGCAGCTCCACGTGCTGCCATGCCACCTCCCCCTGGCTGATGCTGCGAGCACAGGTTTTCTTGCTACGCTACATCAATTTTTATGCGTATGTGCACATTGACTTGAAGAAGAAGATTTGTCTAGTAGTTAAAGCACAAGACATAGAATCAAAGAGCAGGAGTTTTATTCCTAGGCAAGATCTGCAAAGTCAAACTCTCCAAACTTTTTTTAAACCATCTGTAAAATGGAGATAACAAACTAACAACTCCCCACCTCACCAAT